TTATTTATATAATATTTAGTTAAATATATTTATTATTAAACCTAATTATAATAAACTTAAGTAGTTTAAATATAATATTATTATAAAGTTATTATAATATAATATTAATCTTAATTTATTTAATAAGAGTAATAAAATTAATAAACTAGGTTTTTAAAATAATATATTTAAATTATTAAAAAATATAAGTTATAACAAAGTTAATAAATATATAAATAAAATATAGAAATAATATATAAAAAATATAATAAATACTTAGAATTTATTCTTAATTAATAATATTAAGCTTAAATAAATTAAAATTAATATTAGCTTAAAGCTAGTTTATAAATGATTTTATAAAATTTAAATATCTTTTATATATTAAGAACTTTAAGTTTAAAGTAAAGTTAATATATTTTTATTTTTCTCTTTATTCTCCCTCTTCTCTTTTCTCTTAATATAGTTTTAGTTATAATTATTATTATTAACTAAAGCTAATTAAGACTTATTTTAAGTTTAGATATTAGAAACTAAAATTAAATCTTAAATTATAACTAAGATTTCTTGATAAATAAAAACTAGGTTTTCTTAGAATATATTAAAAGAAAAGATAATAATAATAATAATATAAAGCTAAATAAAAACTAGGTTATTTATAAAATAAAGATAATAAGTATAAATTAAGTTCTTAATTTAACTATAAATAATAAAAGCTTAATCTAAAAAATAACTAAAATTTAAAATAGTTTTAAACTATATTTAAAAAGACTTTAAAGTTAGTTATTAACTAAGTTTAAGTAATAATAATATGTTTTTTAATATAAAACTAAAGTTAAATCTCTATATTAATAATAAAAATAAAATAAAGATAAAATAAAGTTATAATAAAATAATAAACCTTTTTTTTAATATATAATATAAAAGATTTTAATAAATATTTAAGTAAATTAATAAGTCTAATATTAAAATAAGTTAAATATATATAAATAAAACAAAAGTAAATAAGACTTTTTAAGGTTATTATAATAAAATAAAGAAGATATAAAATATTTTAAAAGATAAATATATTTAAAATTAAAATTAAAATTAAAATTAAAATTAAAAATATTAATAAATTAAGTAGTTAATATTT